ACTGGGCCACCTCGCTTGAACTCCGAGGCTCCAGCACATGCCTCCCTTTTGACCTTGCTGAGGGCCGAGGGGAGAAGTCTCAACATGGCTGCACCATCCGCCATGTCTGGGATGCATCGTAACCTTGGAGGAGAGGCTCGGGACCCACCACTGGGCCACCTCGCTTGAACTCCGAGGCTCCAGCACATGCCTCCTTTTTGCTTGCTGAACGCCGAGGGGAGAAGCCACAACCTTAAGTTATGTTCATTTGCTTAAGTCCTGCTTAAGTCCGAGGCTCACACAGTTATGTTCATCTCCTTAAGTTATGTTCATTTGCTTAAGTCCGAGGCTCACACAGATGTTCATCTCCTTAAGTCCTACTTAAGTTCGAGGCTCACACAGTCCATCCCCTTAAGTTATGTTCATTTGCTTAAGTCCGAGGCTCACACAGTTATGTTCATTTGCTTAAGTCCGAGGCTCATACAATTGATTGGTTAATGTTAAGATACCAAGTTAAAGTTATTGAGTTTGTGCTTTAATCAACTTCTAGTCCGCTTGTTTAACGAGGCACAAAAATTTGGATAAGGAACAACAATTAGTGAAGAAAAGCATTGTATTAATATTCAAAAGGAATTACAAAGGAGGGCCTCTGGCCATTACACAAAGTACTGAAAAGGAAACCTAATCTAAGCCTGGCTGGATAGAGGAGGCACCTCCACGCTTGGGGGTTCAGCAGCTTGGGCATCAGTAGTTGCTTTCTCTGCCTCAGCACTTGGGGCTTCAGCATCAGCTGCCTCGTCACCTTGCACCTCCTCAGCTGGGGTCTGAGGAACCTCATCCACAAATTCGGACCTGAGTTGTGCCAGGTCCGAGTTGGGATAAAGCTCCTCCGCCCTCTCCATCACTTCGGCATAGGCGAAGTTCCTCCAGTACGTGCTGAAGCTTTTGTACTCCTCTGTGGTGTGGAAGTTGGCGATGTATGCCTTCACCGCCTCTTCCGCTGCAGTTCGGGCCTCTTCTCTGGCAGCCGAGGCGTCGTTCATATACCACTTAGCCTACCCCTCGAGAAACTGATTGGCATCACGAGCGCCGGCCAAGGCGAGATTTGCTTGCTCCAGAGCCTCAGCAGTCACCTTTTGGTATTCATTGGAGACCTCCACCTTCTTTGTCAAGGAGGCCACCTCACACTGTGACTCATATACTTCCCTCTTGAGGACCTCTATTTGGGTCAACGCAGACTCGAGCCTCGCCGCTTCTTCAACCCTTTGTGCTTTGGCTTCCTCGGCCTCAACCTTAGCAGCTTTGACCTCTTCTGCAAGGGAAGCAGCCTTCCCCTCCAATGCGTGAGTCCTTGTTTGGAATTCACTTAATGCCTCCCTGCATTCCAGCGCGAGGCCAAAGGTCCGGGCGCTTTGGCTCACCAATGCCCTCGTGAGGTCGGTGGCATCACAAGACGAGGCGTGAAGCTGCCACCTCTCCGTCCAGAACTTGTAAAAGCTCTAGGTGGCACCTCTGATTTCCTCAGGGAGAGCCTCCACCAAGGCTGGGGCCAGCTCATCCTTCCTCCCAGCTAGGAAATTAGGAGACTTCCCCTTCTCCCGAACCGGCCTTTCCTTCGCCGCCTCCTCTTCGGCGGCTTCCGCAGCTCTACTTGCAGCCTCTTCTCTGGCCTCTTCAGCCTCCACCTCTCTTACCATCTCCATTTTGATGGCCTTAGAGGCTGCAGCAAGGAGCTTTGGCTCACCGGTCTGTTCTGCCCTATGGGACACTGACGTCCCGAACTTGCCAGCTGAGCTGGAGATGTGCACCAGCTTCCTCTTCTTAGTCTCCTCAGAGACTTTCTCCTTGCCCCGAGGCTCCTTAGGCTTCTCTGGCCTCTGAGTAGATGCCTTCTCCATGGCCCTAGGAGTGCAGTCCTTCGACAGGCGCTCAACCCTGCCTCGAACTTCCTTTGCTCCACTGGATCCGGGCTTCAGGGGCCTCGCCTTTGCAGTAGAAGTGGCCTTCAAGATGGAGGCCATATCTGGAGCTGGGTACTCCCTCTTCTTGAATTTATCTGCACCATAGATTAGCATCAGCACAAGAAACATTCAAGTTATACAACAAGTGTTGGAGCCCCATACCTCTGGATGCCATCAGCCCGAAGTCCAAGAAGTATCTGCTTCTATCAATCAGGTGATCGAAGTGCCGAAGCTTCAAAGGCCTCTTGTAAATGTCCTCTATCACCTCAAATTCCTCCCTGTTGAGCTCGAACCTCGTACTACTATCTGCAAAGATGAACCTTCAACAGTTAGACGAGTAAATACTTTGATTTCAAAACACAAGCAGAGGTCGGGAGACTCACGAGCTTCGTAGTACTGGGTCGGCACTGTGCATGACAGGGCTTTGTCACCCTCCACTGCCTGCCATTTACCTCGCACCCAGAACCAGGACTCCTTCCACCCCTTGATAGAGGAAGGAAGTCCTACCACAAAGGGTGCGTGAGCCCCCCAAGGCATGAGGTAGTACCACCCCCTCGACTCCTTCCCAATTACCCGGGACTGGAACAGGGTCATGAAGACATGAAGAGGCATGTCCTCCCCCAGTGACACTTCCTTCCACAGGAAGTACGAGCCCACCAGCTGGCTCCACTCATTCGGTAGAACCTGGGTCGGCGACAGCATGAATTTCCGAAGCACCGTCCTAAATAAGGGGTGCAAAGGAAGACGCACACCTGCTTTAAACAGATATTCACTCACGGCAACGCAGTCGGGCCTCGAATAGCAGGCCCGCTCGTTTGGTTCGGGGACCAACATCTCTACAAACTGAGGTCGAAATCATAAAGTAAAGGGATCATGAACCTGGAATTTGTTAAATTGGGATTAGGCTTTCCTTCCCATAAATATATTTTCTGGTGGTGACCCAAAATTCAAAGAAAATATTGACATAACAAATATAGATTGGTGGCATATTCAAGAGCTGTTATGTTTCATTTTCATCACACAAGGGGCATATAAAATGCCACCTCCATTCTTCATTGTTATATGATTGCCTGATGGGTTACTACAGGGAAATTAATAGAATCTTTGTTGTATCATCCTCTAATCTTGAGGCTGGGCTAAAGAAAAACTGGTCGAGATTCTAAAATGAATGTTATGGCCTTATCTCTAGAATTATTTATGCTCTCGATTCCTCTTGTAAAGATATCTGCGATTATGTCTAGCATGCCTTTCGAAAGATGGGGAAAAAATTGTGCTACAAATGTCCTCTTAGTTGGTTTGGATGGGAAGCATATCACGATTCTAGGCTTAAATTTGAAAATTGAGTATGCACTCCAAGCATTAGATTGAATGCGCAGGTGATTTTATTCAGCTAGCTTGGGGTAGAAAATATCAAGTGCAATCTCTTCATGCTTCATGAGGCAAATATTGGAAACATTTTGGCCACTATTTCATGGTTTTCTTATTTAACGCAGGCTTTAGCTAGTTGTTTTCTTATTATTGAGGGCGAATTTCTTATTATCGGATGCAGAATTTTATAAATCCTCGTTCCTTAAATAAAGGAAAATGCAGTACTTATAAGTTATTGTTCCTTGAATAAAGAAAGAGATAGTACTTATAAGTCTTCGTTCCTTGAATAATAATCTAATCCTTAATTATAAAACAAACTTTTCTTATTTACGTATTTTAAGGTTATTTATGTTTCATAAATTTAGTATTAAAATAATAAATCGTAAAATTTGGAGGAAGAGTTGATGAATTATCAAGAAAGAAATTGTGCTCATGTAAATAAATAGAATGTATAAACAATTATTCTTACATTACTCAACATACGTTCACACCATTCTTTACATGATTGTACCAGCATCTATCCTCACTCTAAAAAGTCTTATTTCTCTCCTAAAAAGTTAAAAAAACCTCCGTTTACTTGATGGCCTCTTCAACTCCGCCACCGCACTGTACTCTCACCACCACAAAACCTTACCAGAACCACCACTTTCACCACCTCCAAAACCGTAACTCCCCCCATCAACACTGGGGCTCCCAGAAGGTCTACCTAAATAACAATAATCCTTCTCATACCCGAAATGCCGGACCCAAGCCTCCTTCCGGCCCAGGCTCCACCGCCGGTCCAGGCTCCGCGTTCCCTTCCCTCTCCTCCGCTGACTTCTCCGGCCGCCGCTCTACCCGCTTTGTTTCCAAGATGCATTTTGGCCGCCCCAAGTCAACGGCCTCCTGCCGACACACATCTGCCGCAGAGGAGCTCCTTCAACGGGCTCTTTTCTGCAGCGGTGATCATAGCTGTATAGATGACATACTATTGAGCTTTGAGCCGAAGCTTCGTGGGTCGGATGACTATACGTTTTTGCTCCGGGAGCTAGGGAATAGGGGTGAGTGGTCTATCGCCATGCGGTGCTTTCAATTCTCGATCAACCGGGAAAAGAGGCGCAATGAGAAAGGTAAATTAGCTAGCTCAATGATTAGTACTCTTGGTAGATTAGGCAAAGTTGATTTAGCTAGGGATGTTTTTGAAAATGCGGTGAATGAGGGGTATGGGAACACTGTATATGCTTATTCTGCATTGATCAGCGCTTACGCAAAGAGTGGGTATTGTGATGAGGCCATTAGGGTCTTTGAGACCATGAAAGACTCGGGCTTGAAGCCCAATTTGGTGACTTTCAATGCATTGATTGATGCGTGTGGAAAAGGAGGTGCTGATTTCAAGAGGGCTTCAATGATTTTTGATGAAATGTTGGGCAATGGGGTGCAACCAGATAGGATTACTTACAATTCGCTTCTGGCGGTTTGCAGTGGTGCAGGGCTGTGGGAGACTGCAAGGAGTTTATTTAGTGAAATGCTGTATAGGGGGATTGATCAAGATATTTATACATATAATACACTTTTGGATGCTGCGTGCAATGGTGGGCACATTGATGTGGCTTTTGAGATAATGTCTGAGATGCCCACCAAGAAGATCTTGCCTAATGAGGTAACTTATAGCACTATAATTCGTGGATGTGCCAAAGCTGGGAGACTGGATAGGGCACTTAGTTTGTTCAGTGAGATGAAGTTTGCGGGTATTAAGTTGGATAGAGTGTCTTATAATACCTTACTTGCTATTTATGCTAGCCTTGGCAGGTGCGAGGAAGCTCTGAATATTGGCAAGGAGATGGAGAATATGGGGATTAAGAAGGATGTTGTCACTTACAATGCTCTATTGGATGGGTTTGGTAAACAGGGGATGTATGACAGGGTTAAGGAACTGTTTGCAAAGATGAAAGCTGAAAACCTTTTGCCTAACTTATTGACTTACTCAACATTAATCAGTGTTTATTCTAAAGGGGGTTTATATCGAGATGCCATAGAGGTCTACAGAGAGTTCAAGCAACGAGGCATGAAGGCTGATGTTGTTTTCTACAGCAAACTTATAGATGCGTTATGTAAAATGGGGTTGGTGGAATCATCTACAATTCTTCTGGATGAGATGATGGAGGAAGGTATTCAACCTAATGTTGTAACTTATAATTCAATAATAAATGCCTTTGGTCTGTCTGTTGCTGTTGAATATCTAGAGTCTCAGCTGGGATCCTCGTCACTGCCTGTTCTTGAGGATGGTGTTCATAATAAAGATAAAGATGAAAAGGATGATAAAATCATTAAAATTTTTAAGCAGTTGGCTCGTGGAAAATCAGGTTGTGAAAAATGGAATATGAGGGGCAAACAGGACTTCCTCTGTGTCTTGGGAGTTTTCCAGAAGATGCATGAGATGGAAATAAAGCCAAATGTTGTCACCTTTTCAGCAATTCTGAATGCTTGCAGGTACCAGTGTTTAACCACGCCTCTATCTCTTCACTTATGCACTTATTATGCCATATTATTTTCTCTGTTACATCAAGTTCTTCAACCTGATGGGTTTATTTCCCTTCAGGTTAACACATAATTAAATGGAACTTCTTCATAGGCTGATATAATGTAGTACTTTCAGTTATAGAACAAGTAAATAACCTGTATAATGGGTCAAATTTTGGGCATCAATCAGTTGCACGTTTATTTGTATTATCTCGCTTATCATAGTTAATGTCAGTTTCATGGCGTTCTCTGTGGCTGCAGCCGCTGTAGCTCATTTGAAGAAGCTTCACTGCTATTAGACGAACTACGTCTCTTTGATAATCAGGTATATGGAGTTGCACATGGACTTCTCATGGGTTGTAATGAGAATGTTTGGTTTCAAGCTCTGTCCCTTTTTGATGAGGTGAAACAAATGGATACTTCAACTGCTTCTGCTTTTTATAATGCTTTGACTGACATGCTGTGGCATTTTGGCCAGGTAATTTATTAATTTAACTGAAGGTCCGAGCTTGACTGAAGTTAATAGCATCTCAATTAAATAACTGAATTTGTTGGAAAGCATGGTGCCAGTTCCTTTTTTTAGCCAAATGATTTGTGTGGAATCTATGCTGTGCATTGTTAGTCAGTGGTTTCTTTTCAATTCAATTCTTTTTTGTTGTTTCTTTCCGTTACTTATTTATATGTTTTACATTCAGAGCAGTAACTTTTAAGGGGTGAGGAAAACATTGATGCTTACACTTGGGGGAAAATTACAGGTGGAAATTGCTCACTTCCATTAAGCAGTCACATTTGGCAGCAAGCCAGTCTTGAATCTGGATGCAATTTGGAATTACATTGGATGTTGAAAACTCTTATCTGTTAAATAAATATTGAATAGAAAATGTTGACCTTGTTATTAGAAAAACATTGGTCAAAATCTTCCTTTTTATCTACAAAGTTCTAAGGCTTTTATGATGATTTTTTCTTATATTTAGAATGGAAAGGGAAGGAATGTACGTCTCTACTCCACATAAAAGCTTTCTAATGGGGATCCATATATTTGAGCTGCAAAGTTAATCATTCTTCATGTATTGTTCATAATAAACTTCAACTAAATGAAATAATGGGACTATCTAAATTTAATTGCTGAATCTCCTATTTGGTTTCCTCCACTAAGATCTCCTTGGATTTTCATGTCTGACAGATAATTGGTCATCTTTTATTTCCTTCACTATCTCCCTCTCTTTTCCTTCTTGCAAAATAACTCAAATCATTGTCCTGTAAATTTTTGCCATGGGATGTCTTGGCTGTTTAGCCAGTTTATATGCCTTGATGCTTTTCAATTAGTGAAGAGATTGTGTTCTATTTTCCTTTACTTTCTGTAGCAGTAAGATAACGGGATCTGGTAAAACGTTCATGTTATTATTTTATAAATATCTTTAGCTAAAACATTTCTCTGGCTGGCTTTCTGTTAAATTTGATCTTGGAGTTAGGACGCCAATGCCACTTAATGGGGCTCAAAATTCATCTTTCTATTTTTCTCCACAGAAACGAGGTGCCCAACTTGTTGTTCTTGAAGGAAAACGCCGACAAGTATGGGAAAATACTTGGTCTGAATCTTGCTTAGATTTGCATCTAATGTCTTCGGGTGCTGCGAGGGCTATGGTTCATGCCTGGTTGCTTAATATTCGCTCTGTTGTTTTTGAAGGCCATGAGTTACCAAAGCTTCTAAGGTAGTCTTTTATCAGGAAAATTCACTTTCGTGTTGTCTTTAATGTGCTTTGATTGATTTTATGGATGGTTTTATGATAATGCAGTATCTTGACGGGTTGGGGCAAGCACAGCAAGGTGGTGGGTGATGGTGCACTTAAGCGGGCTATTGAAGCTCAGCTAACCAGCATAGGTGCACCTTTTCAGATCGCCAAGTGTAATATTGGAAGGTTTATATCAACAGGGGCTGTGGTTGCAGCCTGGTTACGAGAATCGGGCACGCTAAAGGTACTTGTTCTTCAGGATGACAGATCTAACCAAGAAGGTGCAAGGTTTATTATTCCCAATTTGCAACCACTACCAATATAGCCGGTTGTAAATCATGTGGGTGTGGATTTTGATATGCCTATCTGCTGTAAATTACTGGAATGGCTCTTCACTGCCGTGGGTCCATTTGGGCGCCTATGAATGAGTGTGTGTGCATGCCATGTTCTTGACAATGCAAGTTTCGGAAGAGAAATAGTTAATTTAAGTCTTTATGAAAGCCATTATTCGAGAGAAAATCATAAGCTGGATTTTGAGCAATTGTTGGATGCATTTGTTATAACTTCTATGTGTAAGGAGCTTCAAATATGTATAATCTTTGAGTCCATAATTTTTTTTTAATTTAAATTTTTTAATATTAAGGATGGTGGAGAGATGCCTAGTATCTAGCAGGGAAGAAAGGGGATTTACAAAAACGCAATTTAACATAAATTATGAAAGCTAGAAAGAAAGCTAAACTAATATTTGTTTTGTTATTATTCTATTTCTACTATTTGAACCGACTAAAATGGTTACAGCTAGTAAATGGATTAGGGGTTTGATATTTAAATAATAGTGTCTCTCTATTGATTTTAGGATTTAACCATTTGGTTAGTTTAATGGGGCAATTATACGATTGTCTTAGGTGGTGCGAAGAGGTTGGAAAACTCTATTGACCGGTCCTAGTTCGCAGCGCATAACTCTCTAGTGAAATACTTTATTTTATTATTTTTTACTTTTTAGAAAAAAGTTTATTATGCTCAAGTGAGCCATTTAATATGAAAATAATTGATGAAGTTTGGAAAATTGTTATTTAAATCGTACATGCAAGAGTAGAGTCAAGAGACGTAAAATTCAAAATACACTCATTTCTTTCTTTCTTGTTTTCTATGTATATAAAGGATAATACTATGTGTATACTTGATGGTGTACACACAGCTTTATACCCCCCTCTATGTGAGGGGGGTTCACAAATATTTTAATATATGTGGGCCTCCCTCTATGTGAGGGGTGTGAGTCTCTGTGTGTGTTGTGTACACATAGTACAACCCACACATATATATATATACCCGATTGACGATCAAGGTATAAAGATTTAATCGGTGGCCTTGTAGTAAGGACAATGGGGCTTGGCTTCTATATGTATTACTTTGTATTAAAAACATTTTTTTTTTATCATTTTCATAGTCTTACCCACACATCTAGATAGGTTGGGAAATGCTTGGGAAATAGGGGGGCGGAACGCCCCCCTGACAGAAACCCCACAAATAGGGGGGTCCTGCACAAAAAAAAAAAAAAAAAATGAAACCCT